GTAGTTGAGCGGTTTTGAGTGAGTTTCTTATTCCTGAGTTCTAGTTTGATTGCATTGTGGTCTGAGAGACAGTGTGTTATAATTTCTGTTCTTTTACATTTGCTGAGTTCTTCCAACTATGTGGTCAATTTTGGAATAAGTGTGATGTGGTCCTGAGAAGAATGTATATTCTGTTAAGTTGGGGTGGAGAGTTCTGTAGATGTCTATTAGGTCCGCTTGGTGCAGAGCTGAGTGCAATTTCTGGATATCCTTGTTAACTTGCTGTCTCATTGATCTAATGTTGACAGCGGGGTGTTAAAGTCTCCATTATTATTGTGTGGGAATCTAAGTCTCTTTGTAGGTCTCTAAGGACTTGCTTTATGAATCTGGGTCCTCCTGTATTGGGTGCATATCTATTTAAGATAGTTAGCTCTTTTTATTGAATTGGTCCCTTTACCATTATGTAATGGCCTTCTTTGTCTCTTGATCTTTGTTGGTTTCAAGTCTGTTTTATCAAAGACTAGGATTGCAACCCCTGCTTTTTTTGTTTTTCATTTGCTTGGTAGATCTTCCTCCATCCCTTTATTTTGTGCCTATGTGTGTCTCTGCATGTGAGATGGGTCTCCTGAATACAGCACACTAATGGATCTTGACTATCCAATTTGCTAGTCTGTGTCTTTTAATTGGAGCATTTAGCCCATTTATATTTAAGGCAAATATTGTTATGTGAATTTGATCCTGTCATTATGATGTTAGCTGGTTATTTTGCTTGTTAGCTGATGCAGTTTCTTCCTAGCATTGATGGTCTTTACAATTTGGCAAGTTTTTGCAGTGGCCGATACCGGTTGTTCCTTTCCATGTTTAGTGCTTCCTTCAGGAGCTCTCGTAAGGCAGGCCTGGTGGTGACAAAAACCTCTCAGCATTTGCTTGTCTGTAAAGGATTTTATTTCTCCTTCACTTATGAAGCTTAGTTTGGCTGGATATGAAATTCTGGGTTGAAAGTTCTTTTAAGAATGTTGAATATTGGTCCCCACTCTCTTCTAGATCTCTTTCTGCCAAGAGATCTGTTAGTCTGATGGGCTTCCCTTTGTGGGTAACCCGACCTTTCTCTCTGGCTGCCCTTAACATTTTTTCCTTCATTTCAACTTGGGTGAATCAGACAATTATGTGTCTTGGAGTTGCTCTTCTTGAGGATTATCTTTGTATTTCCTGAATTTGAATGTTGGCCTGCTTTGCTAGGTTGGGGAAGTTCTCCTGGATAATATCCCAAAGAGTGTTTTCCAACTTAGTTCCATTCACTCCATCACTTGCAGGTACACCAGTCAGATGTAGATTTGGTCTTTTCACATAGTCCCATATTTCTTGGAGGCTTTGTTCATTTCTTTTTACTCTTTTTTCTCTAAACTTCTCTTGTCACTTCATTTCATTCATTTGATCTTCAATCACCGATACCCTTTCTTCCACTTGATCAAATCAACTACTGAAGCTTATGCATGCATCATGTAGTTCTCGTGCCATGGTTTTCAGCTCCATCAGTTAGCCATTCGTCTAATCTTTTTTCAAGGGTTTTAGCTTCTTTGCGATGGGTTCGAACATCCTCCTTTAGTTCAGAGAAGTTTGTTATTGCCGATTGTCTGAAGTCTTCTTCTCTCAACTCGTCAAAGTCATTCTCCAGGCAACTTTGTTCCATTGCTGGCGAAGAGCTGCGTTCCCCTGGAGAAGAAGAGGCACTCTGATTTTTAGAATTTTCAGCTTTTCTGCCCTGGTTTCTCCCCGTCTTTGTGGGTTTTTGTTGTTGTTGTTGTTGAGATGGAGTCTCGCTCTGTCGCCCAGGCTGGAGTGCAGTGGTGCAATCTCAGCTCACTGCAACCCGGCCAAGGTAAAAAATCTTTACAATGAAATATATAAGATATCAGTGAAAGAAATTAGAGAAGACAAAAATAAATTTAAATATATTTCATGTTGGCCGGGCGTGGTGGCTCACACCTGTAATCCCAGCACTTTGGGAGGCCAGGGCGGGTGGATCACAAGGTCAGGAGATTGAGACCAGCCTGGACAACATGGTGAAACCCTGTCTCTACTAAAAATACAAAAATTAGCACAGCATGGTGGCGCATGCCTGTAATCCCAGCTATTAGGGAGGCTGAGGCAGCAGAATCACTTGAACTCGGAAAGTGGAGGTTGCAGTGAGCCGAGATTGTACCAGTGCACTCCAGCCTGGGTGACTGAGTGAGACTCTGACTCAACAAGAACAAAAAAAAAAATTCATGTCTATGGATTGAAAGAATAAATATTGTTAAAGTACCATATTATCTAAAGTAATCTATACATTCAATAAACTTCCTATCAAAATTCCAGTGGCATTTTTTTCACAATAGGAAATACAGTTCTAAAATTTACAAGAAACTACAATAAACTTCAAATAGCCAAAGGAGTCTTGAGAAAAAAATAACAAAGCAGAGGGACAGGACATCATAATTTATAATGTCAAACTATATTTTAAGACTATAGTAATAAAAACAGGATGGAATATGTAGAAAAATTAACAAGAAATCCCTAATGGAACAGAAACCACTACTCTCACACATTTCAGACAGGATGCAAAAAGAGAACTAAAAAATAATTTAACAGAGTTTTTCAGCCGGGTGCAGTGGCTCACATTTGTAATCCCAGCACTTGGGGAGTCCAAGGTGGATCCACTTGGGTGGATCACTTGAGGACAGGTGTTCAAGACCAGCCTGGCCAACATGGTAAAACCCCATCTCTACTAAAAATACAAAACAATTAGCTGGGTGTGGTGGCAGGCACCTGTAATCTCAGCTACCAGGAGACTGAGGCAAGAAAATTGTCGAACCCAAGAGGCAGAGGTTGCAGTGAGTCAAGACCATGCCACTGCAATCCACCTGGGCAACAAGAGCGAAACATGAGCAAATATTTGATATTTGTGTGTTCACCCAAGGAAAAGGAGAAAGAGAATTTAAAAGCATAAAACAGAAGATGCCCTTTAGTGAGAGAAAATTTTAAGAAAATATTCAGTGTTCCCAGAAACTATATGCTTTGCAACACAGATTCCCAAATCACATTGTAAGGACTGGGTTACCCTTTTTTTTTTTTTTTTTTTAACCTTTGTACCTCTCACCTGTGTCATCTCTTGTGTTCACTCTTACCTACCTGGGGATTCATCCAACATCTCATGTCTCTTCATATTCCAGGGCTCTTTTTCTTGCTCCAGACTGGTGATTGGGTCTTGCTTAGAGATATCAATACCTGCTTTATTAAAAATAAATAGCATAAATCTTGCTTATATTCTCCAGTTACCAACCTAGTACTGTGCTCAGTAAAAAGGATGTAATAGAATATTCTAGAAAATTAATCCCAAACTACTAATTAATGAGACACATCTCTAACTATTTAGAAAATATTTTAAATTTGTAGGTCCTTAATTTTACTACCTGGTACTCATGAATCAAAAACTGATGGTGGAAAATAGATTTTAAGATACGGGCAATGATATTTTATGCCACCAAATTTCTGGAATTACCACTAATCTAGAGTGAAGGATGCAGATCAGCTCAGGAATGTGGAAAGTTCAGGTCAAGATGAAACATGTTGAAGAAATTCTTTTCCACAGACAAATCATCAAGATTTTCTTGAAAACTGGGATCAGAAACTCATTTATACAAAGCATAAATTACCACAAAAAAATTCAACAAAAAAAGAGACATAAAACCTTTAGAGTATATTAAGAATCATGTATTAAAGTTATTCTCACCCAAGAAGACCAGGTTTTTGTAGTTCTCTAACATCACATTCCTATATAAATTCTGCTGAGCAGGGTTCAGGCATTCCCACTCCTCCAGAGAGAATTCTATGGCCACATCCCTAAATGTCAATGTCTCCTGAAAAACACAAGCACAGAGACACACATATATTTACCAGGTGGCCATAGGAAAAATGTATTATTTGACTTAAGGTGAAATGAGAGAGTAAAGGGAATTGGTTCTGAGTTATAAGAATAACTGAAATTATCCAATAATTTTTAACACAGAAATATTCACAACACCAGTGTATGTAATACTTTTCTGGATCATAAAGAATATAATTAAGGACACAAATGTATACATGTTTGAGTGCTATATTTACATCATAATGAGTTGTGTATGTTTTCAGACAGAAAAAGACATGTTGAGTTAGATGGTACCTCTCAAATTTAAATGTGTAAGATAAACTGGAGATCCTGTCATGAAGCTTTTTTTTTTTTTCTTCCAGAAGATCTGGAATAAAGTCTGAGTTTTTAAAATTCTAACAAGGTCACTAGTAATGCCAATGTTTTTGACCCAAGAAGACTATTTTGTCAAACATTCCATAAGTGAAACAGACTGTGTTTTTCCCAATTTTTCTGGCCTATAAACAAAGAGCTTTAATTTTCCAAAGACAGATACTTGCAAAAAACAAACAAAAAAACCTAAGAAAAAAGGGCAGGTGCCAGATTAAATGTGATGGTTTATGCACATTAGCCACATAAAGATACTTAATAATAAAGAGAACAACAATTAACTCTACAGTGAAAAAGTCAGAGAGCTCTTTAACCAAGCAAATTATTAACATCAATAACACTAGAATAAATTTTACGATGTGCTGACGCACACAGAACACAACATCACTGCTGAGATATTGCCCCTCAAAAAGTCAATTATAGACTGAATTTAACCATAAAGAAAAATCAGTTTTATGTGGTCAAGATATCTCCCATGTTCTATAATTTTTAATAATGATTTTAAGCAGTCCTTCTTTAGCATCCTAGAAAGCAGGTATCTCTGAATAATTTTCTCCAGAACTTTCTGGGTAATAAAAGCCATCCTGTTTAAATAAGCATTTTCTTAATCCTGTTCTGCATAGAGCTAATGGAGAACACAGGTGACACCTCAACATTACATGTTCTCCATCCTTCCTAAGGACCCTAGGTTTCCCTCAACAGGAATCTTGAGTATCCACATCTTCCCACGTTCAACAGCCACAAAAGGAACACTTTTAATATGGCAGATCATAAATTCATGGTAGGAATTCTGCATTGCATATAAGAAGCCATGATGTAGAGAAGGCTCTGGTACATAGGATAGAAATATTTTTTAGAGACCCTTGACTATCACAAGAATTTTTAAAAGTACGTGAAACAAAATCATTGGGGAGGAAATACACAAGTAGAGAAGTAAAGATTTGCAAGTACTAAACACATGGCACTCCAGCAGGCAGAGTGGACACAGCTCTTGATCTGAGACATGTTTAGCTGAAAAGAAGCCATTTTTCCTTTCTCCTACTCCTCTGAAAATCCTTTTCAGATAAAACTATCGGACAAGCAACACCTGCATCTTGAGAACATTCCCTTAAAGACATCAGCACCACCTGCTTACCTACTAGCCTCACACTCACAGAAGGACCAAGACCAAAAAGTCTACCCATTTTTCTCGTTTATAACAGAAGAGATTCAGGAACAATGAGCTGCTCCACGGAAATAAAATATACGTTCCTCTTTTCCCGTCCACAGGTGCCCTCCACTGCCACAGACACCAACAATTTTTACTACAGTAATGAAAATATGGGCCACTGCCCTGCCCTGTCCCTACCAAACCCAAACAGAACATATCCTAAAACCACCCTTTAGTGCAAATGTGGCACTTAACTCTCAGGAATGTATCTTGAAGCCTTCATACTTGATTCTGGTCTCACCAGAGTCACATGAGGCCCTTCATTAAAACAACATGAATGCTTCCACCCAGAATACACAAAACCTGTGGAAAGGACATAAGTAAAGAGATTTCAGCAACTTTTTTTTTTTTTTT